TAAATATGAGTGCATGAATGAGTGTCCGGGCACGATAAACTACAATCTCCTTTATATGTATTATCATCAGGATTACGACCAATATAATAGCCATTTTTGCATGTGATACAACTGCTTACATCAGAACATGTTGCACAATTATTACTGCAAGCATGTCGACAATTGTAGGCTACAACATCGCTTGATGGGTATTGTCTCCCATTGTAAAATCCATCATTGCATTTGCTACAGTTATAATATGAAGTGCATGAAATACAGTTGTCCGGGCACGATAAACTACAGTCATCTGTATATTTATTATTAACCAGATCACGACCAATATAGAAGCCATGTTTGCATGTGTTACAACTGCTTACACCAGAGCATGTCACACAATTGTGACTACAAGCATGTATACAACTGTCAGTATAGTATCCGTCAATACAACCATCCAAGCAAACACCGTCATCATTATTGTTGTATTCACATCGTGAAGTTCCATTTACACAACAGTTACACCTGCCACATTCATTCCATGCTAAAACTTAAAGATGTATAGGAAAAAGTGAAAAACATTATTTTGTTACGGCTTCTAAACAACGATGTATAACACTTCAAAAAAGTTGATACCAAATATCTTTTGACTTACTTAATTTTTTTAAAAACGTCTGATAAAAGTCTGATCAAAAATCAAAGTATTGAAATACTTTTCTCACAAGAACAATCTGCGGCGTGACAATGTGTGCAATAGAGTCTATGAAAATAAATAAATGTGGAAGTCAAGATAAAATTGTAAATGAACATAAAAAATATGCAGGGAGTGGTCTTTGCAAGCTTTTAATGGAATTCTTTAATCTAATGATAAAGTACGCATACAGACCGAGTAACATGTAATGAATGTGATTGTATATAATTATATAATAATAATTTTTTCTGTTATTCTTAAATTTGCGAAAATGGGAAATAAAGTGTAATAATAGTTATTTAACTTTAGCGTAGATATACATATACAATCTTCAAGTGTTCAGTCGAAAATGCATTATCATTTCTCTTCATGCATGTCATAGTTACAAAACATTTTTATTTGATATTATACACCATTGCTCAATACTAAATGTGTACATAAGAGTTAAATGAAACAAAATAATCATCGCAAGTGTTAATCTATTTAAAACACGTGATTACGTTTTACTAATACTTCAGAAATGTTTATACACAAAAGTTAGCCTGTATGCTGTGATGTATTTAATATAAAAAAGTCATATGCTGATTATAATAATGTTTAAAACATACCTGTGTCACATAAAAGTAAAACTAGTCCCAGCAAAGTATTCTTCATTTCTATATCATTCCTTTGCTTATGTGATCAGAATGATAAATACCTAAAATAAAATAAATCTTTATTCATAATATGAAAGGGATTGGTGTAAGATCGCAACACACATTCAATGCCATGTTTCAATTAGACACGTGGTTATATAGCACTTTGTTTATTATTTGACACGTTGTTATATAACACTTTGTTTTCAATTAGACAATGTATTTATATAACAATTTGTTTTCAATAAGATAACGTGGCTATATAGTGTTTCTGGTATTATTGCTTTACAGTAAAAATCCTTAAAATGTTCTCTTCCTTAAACCCGTAAAATTACACTGAATAGCAATAGATTCTTAAACTATAAAATCATGTGAATAAAATTATTTCGCATCATTGGAAAGATAAAAACCTATACGAGTAAAAATAAAACATTATTCACATTTAAGTGACTGTACATATAACGTCTTTGCCTAAAAATAAAATAAAAACGATCAGTTACTAATTATTAACTATGAGTATGTTTACCATTTCAAGAGACCTCAAGAGTTTACAATTACCCTTGTCTAATGATTAAAAGTATTAAAATATTACTTACCATAAAATCAGGCTTATAAATACACTGATTAGTACAATTTCTCAATAATATAATGTAAGACTATCAGTTTGTTGGATAAAAAGTTTAGCAATTTACAATAACATTATAAGAGACAGTTCTCAGGAATATAACCAGTTAGTTCTACTTTTAAGAATATTGAAACAGGATTTTGCAGCACACTTTACAATTTCAGTATTGGAAAAAATGAACGACAATTTATTGTCATCAGACAGCCTTAAAAATTGATCATTTACATTTTCTGCTTTGGCAAATAAATCTTTCCTAATATCCTCATACCTTGGACAATATAAAATAACATGTTTCTCATCTTCAATTCCAGTTTTACAGATTGGACAAATTCTTCGGTTCAAAGCTAACCTTTCATATCTGCCCGTTTCGAGTCTAATAGGGGCTACCCCACATCGGAACTTTGCAAATATTGCTCTATGATTATTCGGCAGGATAGCAGTTACATATGCTTCTGTTTCATAACTAATCTTAAAGGTTCTGTAAGTCCTCAATTTATTTCCCCCTTGCCCAGAACTACTATTTATTGTATGTAGTGACTCAATCCATTCATCCAAACACTCATCCAGATATGAACTGGTTAGCTTTTCCTCCAAACAATTCTTATTTAAAACATTATTAGGAACTAAAAATTCACCACAGTTATATTTCTCAAAAATTTCTTTTACTCTAAAATACCAGTTCTTACAAGTTCTACCCGCCTGCTTAAAACAGTACATATTGACTTCACAATTTATTCTCATACTGTTCATACTTGCAGATCGACACCAAGTACTCGCCACACATTTAAGTTGTTTAATAAAGATAGGTTCCCAGCCCATATCCCCAGCAACTGCAGCATTTGGAGTGTATCTGCCTGTTCCTAAGAAAAACCTCATTGCCAGGCTCTGTACTGCTTCAATACATTTGTACTTTCTTGTACCCCAAATAGCAGCACTATAACCCATAACAGGCCAAACAATGGAATCATACAATTTTTTTAATACATTGAAAGGCATACCTCCAAGTTGCTTAAATTTTGCAATAATAAGTCCAAGAGCCCTGCTTGCTGCCTTAGCAACAAATTTTGCTGTAAATTTATAGTCAAGAAACTCATTAAGAGCCAACCCAAGATAGAAATAGCTATCAGTGACATTTAAACTATCAGTTCCAAAATTGAATGGAAACGATGTTCTTGGTGTCGATAAGCTTCGAAAATGTACAATATTACTTTTCTTTACATTGATTGTCATATGATTTCTATTACGCCATATAAAGACAGTATCTAACATGGCTTGTAAATCCTGCTCATTTTTTGCCAAAAGTACTACATCATCAGCATATAATCAAATTGATAAGAACTTACCCTCTTCAAGTTCTATTCCTAGACCTAGAGACTTTATGTTTACAGCCAGATCATTTATATAGCAGTTGAATAACACAGGGGATAAAATGCATCCTTGATGTAATCCCAAATTAACATCAAACCTCTTTGAAGTGTAACCATTCAGTCTTATACATGAACTTACACAAGAATATAGAGATTTAATAACATTTAACATTTTACAATTCAATCTCATCTTAAATAAATGTTCCCATAATATTGAACGGTCAACTGTGTCATAAGCCTTTTTAAAATCTATAAACGCAGTAAAAGTGCTAAGTTTCTTTTTTAATCTAGTTTCTATAATAGATGTGATACTTGATAAATGGTCCCCAGTACTACGCTTCTTACGAAAGCCATTTTGCTCATCTACCAATTTGGAGTTATCCTCCAACCATATTGATAACCGTTCGTTAATAACTGAGCAATATAGCTTGTACATAGTAGGTGCTAGAGTTATACCCCTATAATTTAACTGATTCAAAGGATCTGTTGTATTAGATTTTGGGATGGGATTAATAATGCCTTTTCCCCAGTCTTTAGGTATTTGACCAGTTTCAAAACATACATTAAACAGAACATGCAAGAATGAAACTGCAGTATCATTTTTAAAAGCTTCATATGGTATGTTATCAACACCACAAGCTTTACGGAAATCAGCTTTATCTATGGCTTTTTTTACTTCATTTACTGAAATATTATTGTCTAGCTGTGGGATATAACTGTTATGATCTGTCTAAACGTCTCTTTGACGATAAACACTAGATCCATCAGCAGAGGAACCATTCAAGAGATCTTTAAAACTATCTTTCCAATAATATAAAACTTTGTCTTGATCTGTAACTAATACTCCTTTGTCATCAACAAACTCAAATGGAATGTTGTGTGATTTTGTTTTAGATATACCAACTTTACCAATTGTTTTCCAAAACCTGTTTTGGTCACATTCTACATAGTTAAGTAGTTCTCCCTGCTGTTGGAACCAGTATTTTCTTTTAGTTTTTTGTACCTCCCTATCAAAAAGTTTTCTACAGTTTCTATATATACAATTCAGCTCTTTCCTTCTACCGTTAGATTTACAACATAGCCAGTCTTTTTCTGATTTACAAACATTGTTCCATAACAAACTTAAATCATCATTCCACCATGGTTTCCCGACCCTTCTCTTTTTATTCATTTGAGAACTGTTTAAAACAAAACGTTTACAAGACAGTTTCATGCATATCATTTTTAATAGTATTACAGAGTGTCTCGTATGCATTATCAATATCACACTGTGTTCGTAGCCCTTGTTCCAACTGGTGGACTGACTCAAATAAGTCCGATACTACTTTTTGATCTTGTAAAAAGTTACCTGGAATATATATATATTGAAATCAAACTTAGTTTCATGTATTTCATGATTATTCTTTGAATCAACTCTTGAAAAATTATAAAGAATATTCCACTGCAAAAGAGAATGGTCGGGAACTCCATTGGTTGTACAAAATTTGCATAATTTACTAAATCTGAAGAACGTACAACTTTAAAATCAGAATACATATACAATCATCAGACTAACAAGACAATAGTCGACCACTGAACAACCTTGTGGTTTAATGCAAGTAAAGTCATTTCCAACACAATTTCTACATTTAAGATAAAAAGTTTTGCACTAATTAAAAAATCAATTAAAACATCACCATATTCATTACATGTATAGTCAATTATATTTCGACTAGGTATACAGTCAACACCTTCAATAAAGTCATATTCCTCCCACATCGGCTGTTAAAGTCACCGCATATACAGATAGAACCTTTATTCTGATAGTCATAAATACCACCCAGAAGTTTATCATAAAATATAGACGCATCGATCTGTCTAGACGAGTTCTTTGGGGGAAGATAGCATACACACATAAATAAATCTTTCCCATTAAATTTATCTTTTAAACATAACCATAAAATACCCTCTTCCTGATCATTTTCAATAGAAATATCAAAAAACTGAAAAAGATCTTTTTTCACTAAAAAGCCTACCCCCCCTGAACCTCCCCATGCATTCACATGTAAATTCTGTCTATTGTTACCAAACCATTTATAATTTTCAAGAATTAATTGTTCATTGTTTTTGAGATGCGTTTCAGCGATACCTATAATATCTAAGTCTAGATAACTTATACATTCATTTCTTATTTGAAAGTTTATTGATTCATTATCAGTTTTCCATCCATTCACATTCCAAAATCCTGCTACAATCTATCTTTTTCAATTTATCTAACACTTTGTTTTCAGTTATACAACGTGGTTATATATCACTTTGTTGTCAGTGAGACTACTTGGTTATTTAACACTTTGTTTTTAGTTAGACAAATGTGATTATGTGACACTTTGTTTTCAATTAGACAACGTGGTGATATGACACCTTGTTTTGAAAAAGACAACGTGGTTATACAGACATCTTTAAACAATTCCAATAGAGATTGAAGGTACGCGACAATTTCAAAATGGCTTTACAAATGTTTAAGGTAGAGGTATCATAAGAGGTAGAAACATAGAATTTTAATCGACAAAATATCTTATGTAATTATTTAGAAAAAATAGAGAGAGACAAAAAGTATGCATTTAAAGGTAGTAATCTCATATTTACCTTGAGTTAATCACCTGTAATCAATCAATTAGTCTTTGATAAATGTATGATTACTATCATCACTCAGATTTGTCATATATCATTTATCAATATAAGAAAATATCATCACCACATTAAGTATAGGACAAACGTTTTGCTATGATTTTAAATAATATTTGTTAGATAAGGAAGTAGCTTATGGTTCAATAACTAATAGATTTACAAAACCAACCAAAACTAATTTAAAGTTAATGTTGTATGAAATTACTACTGAATAATTGATTCCGCATCATTGAGAATTTTCATGAAATGAGCCGCGTCACGACAAAACGAACATAATGGGTTTGCGACCAGCATGGATCCAGACCAGCCTCCGCGCAGTCTGATCAGGATCCAAGCTGTTCGCTTACAGACTCTATTACAAGTAGAGGAACTGATAGCGAACATCATGGAATCTGATCAG